GTTAGGAAACAAGACTTCAAGACCACGGCCACACAGCCCGGAAGACCCACACCAGCCATCTCAATTTTTCTTTTTTTTTTATTAATTTTTTTAAAGAAGTTTTTTGCAAAGTAAAAACAGTACAAATTTAAAGTAAAGAAAAGTGATAAGTAAATAGAGAAGAAATGAAAGAAAAAAACAAAGAAAAAGAAAAAAAGATATAAAGAAGTGGCTTCCAATCTTCTTAAAAGCAGTTATAAATGCATTTATATTTTACCCTCTCTCTCTCAGGTAACATCATGGCTCTCTTCTTTCCATATTTTACCCTTTCTAATCATCAAACCCATAAATCACAAATTCATTTTTCCAGTTTTCAGCAAAAAAGTCCATAAAGGGTTTCCAGTCACTGACAAATGTAGTTATTGTCTTATCAAACAATTCAATTTTGCCACCTCTGCAAATTCTATCATCTTCAGGTGGGTATTCCAGTCTTTCCAACTTTGTGTGTATCATAATTTCCATGCAGTTACCATGTACAAAAACAATAGTTCATTAGTCTTTTCTAATTGTCTGTCCATTGGTCCCAGCAAGAAAAATTCTGGTTTCAGATGAATATTAATCTTTCAAATCCTTTGTATCACTGTATCTGAACCCAAACTTTTCTAGCTTTTTTACAAGTCCACCAGGCATGATAAAGTGACCCTTCATGTTTTCTGCATTTCCAACACAGATTTGAAGTACCTTTATACGTTTTAGAAAGTTTTCTTGGTGTCATATACCAATGGTACATCATTTTATAAACGTCCTCTTTTAAATTACAACATAATGTGAATTTCAGTCCTTTCAGCCACATATTTTCCCATTGATATATCTGTATATTAATAACCAAAGTTCTTAGCCCATTTTATCAATTCCAATAGCATCAGAGTCCTTTTCCATCTCTCTGCTTATTATTTGTAATAAAACTTTAATTCCTGCAGTCTCCTCATGAGAAGCAGCTGTCCTGAGTACAGGTGGGCAATCTCTCGATCTCTCCTTGTTTGGAGAAGCTCTGGCAGCCAGAATTTGTAGTCTGGCTGCTGGTCACTACTGCAACACCATCTCTGCTTCTTTAGAGACATCTAGTCTGTCATGAACCTCACCTGGAAGCTGGTGTTCAGATCACAGTTCTGATCAGAAACAAAGTGAGTTCCTTTGTACATAAGAGCTGCCAAACAATTATACCTGAGGTATGTTGCCAGATGTCTATGATATTAATACACACACAGATTTATATTTGCACACATAATTATGCACTGTTTGTGCTCTAGACTTTGCAGGGTTGTTTTAATTATTGGAAAATGGCAGGTTTGTATTTGTTTGATCTAAATCTAATTTTTCTGCTCTGGCAAACACTCAAGGTGGCTAAGAAAATTGAAAAACAAAAACAGTACTGGAAGTTTAAAAATGTTGAATAAAAATTAGCAATAAAAATACTAAAATCATCCAACAGATGCCTGTTGAAAGAGATTCACATTTAGAGATGGAGGGGCAGGGCAAGTGCAATTCCTGGGGAAGGACATTCCATAGTTTGGGAGCAACAAAGGTGATCCTCTCACACAAGCCAGAAACAAAGAAAGATGATCCTCTGACAGCAGGAGCATCTTAAAAGGGTAACATGGGCAAGTTTGTGATTTGAGAGGCAGTCTGTTAGATGATCAGGTTATTTAGGATGTTAATGATTATTATCAAGACCTTAAATTGTGCCAGTAAGCAAGGGCAGATCTTTCAGGATAGGCATCATGTAATCCCTGCAACTATACAGGTTTGGACAGGGAGGAACCGAGTGGTTGTGGGTATTTGGACTGCCCAGATCTGGGGATGTTCCAACTTTGCCATTGGATGGATTTGCACTTCCCCATTGAAGGCTAGTGCACAATTTGGGGGTCTTCCTGGACTCACAGCTCCTGCTCAATGAGCAGGTGGAAGCTGTGACCAGGAAGGCTTTTGCTCAACTTCATCTGGTGCACCAGTTGCACCCTTTCCTAGATCAGGGGGCCCTTCAGTCATTCATGTCCTGGTCACCTCATGGATTGCAATACACTCTACATGGGGCTGCCCTTGAAGACCACCCAGAAGCTTCAGCTGGTCCAGAATGGAGCGGTGCAGGCACTGATGGGCATGTCTTGGAATGCTAATGTAATACCTCTGCTTCACAAGCTGCACTGGTTGCCAGTTTGCTTCCAGGTGCAATTCAAAATGCTGGTCTTTACTTATAAAGCCCTACATGGCATACAGCCTGGTTACTTGAGGGGCCACCTGTCTCCCATAATATCTGCCTGGCGGGTTTGATCTCTCACGGTTGGTGTGCTCCAGGTTCTATTGATTAAACAATGCTATCTGTCTGGACCCCAGAAGCGCACCTTCTCTGTAGCAGCACCTGCTCTCTGGAATGAGGTTCTCCCCAGAATTCAAACGGCTCCCACCTTACCGGTATTTTGAAAGGCCTTAAAGACGTGGCTCTTCACCCAGGCCTTTGGCAAGGATGACTCATGCCCCATTCTTCCTTTTTGTTCCCCTCCGGGTTTGTTTGCTTTGCCATCGTTGTTCTTTTGTCTTGTGCTGTTTTTGTATTTTTGTATTGTTTTTTGCTCTTAAATGTTTTTAACAATTGTAAACCACCCAGAGCCTCTGTGAGTCAGGCAGCATATAAATATAACAAATTACTACTACTACTACTACTACTACTACTACTACTATCATCATCATCATCATCATCATCATTTTCATGGACAGTCCCCTATAGAGCCTGTTACATTAGTCAAAGTGGGATGTAACCAGGATGTGGATAATCCTTTGCCAAATCTGACCAGTTTAGCTGATGTACTAGATGTGATTGTGGCTCCCACCACATTTCTTGCCAATCCAGTTGATAGCTGAGGATTAAAAGCAAGCCTCTGGCTGCAGACCTCTCTCAGAAGGAATAAAGCTCTGTCCAAGAACAGGCTGAACCTCACAGCCAGTTCCTTATTAATCAGCAGTCCCTCCATATTGTCTGGAGGTAATTTCAGCTTGTTTTTCCTCATCTAGTTTATTGTCAAACATAAGCAATGTTCAAGGATACTGATTGCTTACTTGGAATTGGATGGAAAGGAGTAATAGAGCTAGGCATTATCAGTGTACTGATGATCTCCCTCAGCTGATCTATGCAGATGTTGAACAGCATGGAGGACAAGCTGGAACCTTCTGGCACACTATAAACCAATGATCTAGGCTTTCAATAGTACTGCCTCAGCACCATCTTCTAAATATAGAGGAGGAGGAGGAGGAGGAAAGCATTTACATAATACAGTATGCTGCAGATTGTTGTACTATAGAAATAATGGAATGAACTGCTATACTGTAGATCAAGAACATTTCAGTCGGTAGTTAAGATAGGAAAGTTAAAGTTTTGGAGAGAAGAAATGTAAGAAATAACTCAAAAGGATATGTATTCCAGAGAAAATGAGGGTGCAAAAAGATTTCGTTCCTGGATTGTTCACAGATGGTTGGAAGGGATATTAGGTAATGATCTTAGATTTGGAGCCAAATTTTGTATGAAGCACAAATGATAAGGATGTGACTTTTTCCTATCAGTACTCTGAGAGTGAAGGTGATACACAACAGCATTAGTGAAAGTAATTTTCAAATGGTCAGTAAGTTGAAATCTAAGATTGTAATATCTCACTGATTTCAAGACCACTGACTCTTATGTTGCACAGAATCAACTTCAGCACTTTGTTGAGCAGCTGGGGAGGAACCTGGAGACACCACCATGTCAGATACAAAACTAGGTTATGGATTCAGCAATCCAGTCTTAAGGTCTCTATGTGATCTCAAGCAAAGCATAACATTCTACAGGCCAGACTTCCAGCATGTTTGAAATCCTCTGTATCGGACTGTGGAAGAGCAAACTCACCATCCAGAGTGAGCAGGCATCTCTTTTCTCTCCTGGGATCTAGAGCTTTCGGGCTGCAGAGTTTGTCCCATAAAACAGATCAGAAATCAAGCATGTGTGTGGGTGTGGCAGCAAAGGAGTCAAGCCAAGAAGAGGGGTGGAGGGAGCCTCCAGCCCAAAGGCAAACAGTCTCCAGAAAGTGAAAGAAAACTGTAAGCCTGGGGAGCTGGAAGACTGGCTGAGAGGCCGGGAAGGAAACTGCCCCACCAGAGTCTACAAAAGAGGTGACCCAAAATAAGGCTGCTGTCTGCAGCAGCCCAGGTGTGGAGCTCCACCAACCAGCTCCAGAAAGAGAGGCCTGTGAGTGCTGGGAGGGAGGGAGAGATTTGCCAGTCTATAGGGGAATGAAAAGGGTTCTCATGTGCAACTGGACTGAGATTGGCTACAAGAGCTAAAGACCTGGGGGGGAAAGGAAAGACTTAAAGAGCTAGGAAACAGTTAAGATAGGAAAACATATTTATAGATTAAATAAGATAGAAATAGTGGTAAACTTACAGTAATAGGAATACTGTGGATTATAGGTAGGTAGAAACATAAAAACAAGCATTAAGATTAGAAGTAAGGAATTAGAATTTAATTTTGTATAATAAAATAGGTTTTGTGGGAAAAACAAATTCCGTCTGTGTCTCTGATCTGTACCAGATTTTTAAAAATCCTAACACAGACTGAAGCTTAATTCCCAATGAATTTATGATTTCATGCGTCTGATGAAATAATTTAGCATGACATCCTGCAATGCATTTTGCTATTTTATTTCTGTTTTAAATTCATTAACACTACATGATGTTTGGAGTATGAGGCTTTTAATCTACAAAGCCCTTATCAATTCATAGTTATCACTGCACACCTTGCTAATGAGGTGCATGCATATGTAGAAAAACTTTAATTGTAGAAGAGGGTATACAGATAGGTGGACAGAGAGTATCGTTTTTTGCTCACACATAATTCACTTGAGTTTCAGGAGAATCCACTTCCCAACAATTTAAGTCCTCTATTCTTTCACTCCTTAACACCTTCCAATGTGGCACGATCCAAATACCCTAGCAGAAAGGCATCTGTTCAAAACTTGATTTCTCTTATTTTCTTTAAAATTACTATCATTTGTTACCACACATCTATCTACATTCTTAGCCCTCCTTGGAATAGTTTATTTTGCTCAGGTTCATAATTCAGCAACATGAAGCTCTAAATACAGGAAAAAGTAGTATTATGTGATGCTTACATAAGTCTCTGTTACTATGACTACCAAAGAAAAAGCATGTACAGTTTTTTTCAGCACTTTGCAATATTCTGAGCTGCTGTCCAGCTGCCACTCTCCAAGGGGGTGCATTGGAGGATTTTTCCTGGAATTTTCTCCAAAGCCTCCACATAGACCTGGCCCATTTTCCAACTCAGTTCTTCTTTTTCTGAATTTACTTTCCACCCCCTGCACCAAATTTGGTCCCTTTCTGTTCTAACAGACAGAGCCCTGAGCACTTTTACATAATTTATTTTCACCATTCCATTGTGTTGGAAAAAGGAAAAACTGCAGCAGCTTTTAGGGGCATGAGTGGGTTTTCCAGACAGTACTGGCTTCCACAGGGAGAAAGCAGGGGGCACTAAGTTAGATTTGAGTTGTACTTGCAGATGGATGCTACTGACGTGAATACTGAATTGCATACTTTGCGTATGACCAGAAACTTCACCCTAAGTCTTACAGTTTCATCTAATCTCACAGGGGAACTGCAAAGTAACAGAAGCTCAAGATCCCTACCAGAGGAGTCTTATGGTTGAATCTACAATATGGCATCTTATTATACAGTAAAAACATAAAAGTAACAGATTTTTCCCAAGGCATTAACAGCACTTATAGCAGTGAATAATATAGATATTTTTTTGCTGTCAACATTGTTTTGTTTCTGCATTTTGCATTCACCATGGGAAATACAGAAGTCATCCTTCAGTTACTGTTTTCTAGTTGTATGAATGTCTAATGCATTCAAGCAAAAGGAGTTCTGAGCTTAGTAACAGGTTTTTATATTGCAATTATAATATAAATATAATTAACTAATATAAACTGACACTAGCGTTTTTTTTTTGTTGCCCAGCAACAAAATCTGATTTTGTCTATGGAAAGTGAATGTGCTCTCTTCTCCCAAGAACTGGATTAGGGCAACCTTAGTTTCTGCACTTTAGATTAGAGGGTGAGGTGGCGGGCGGGATGGAGGTGGCCCTGGTGGGTGCCTTGATGGGGGAGGTCCAGGAGGGAGCTCCCTGCAGGGAGGAGGCTGGATTGGTTCTGGAGGGGACGGATGCCTTGGTGCATTGTTGAGGATGTGTGGCTGTGGTGACCTTACAGGTGGCTGATAGGAGATGAGTGTTCCATCTGATTTCATTCGTGCAAAATGCATGCACCGCCCCTGGGTAAAAACAAAACAAAACAAAACAGAACAGAACAGAAAAAAAATGAATATATATTTCACACATCCCTATATAATCGTCTTTGCTGATTTATTTAGCGCTTACTCTTAACTATTATTTACTGTATGTAGCACCATCAATATGGTCCCTGTGGATTAAGTGGGACCCTCAGTCTTGAGAGTGATAGTTACATTGATGAAATCCAGAAAATTGGCAGGTTAAACAATTCATCAACCCAAACAGCAATGGCAAAAAACAAAACTACTCCAAATGAGACAGAGATGAATAGAAGTAGAACTATTCCAGAAAATCCCTATTTCACTTATGCCATCAGTTGACCTGCTCTAACTTTTCCACAAGGCTCACAAGGGTCTAGACCGGTGGGAAATATCCTACCTAGAAGGTTAAGATAATATACATTCACAGAAAAGAAATATCCATTCTGTTCTGAGTTGCTGGAGGTCATTCATCATCTTTGGGACTTGCAGAGCAGAAAAGAAAGGTGGGAATCAACCAATTTTCTTAATTTTTCAAAATATTCTGCAGCATCTTCTTGCCATATGCTGAAACAATTATTTTTTTAATGCTTGGGCAAGTCTACAATGAGGTTTAGGAATATCCCGTACCTGTTCTAAAATGTTATATATCAACGTTACTCCCCTCAAAAAGTGGGGCTTAATTTTGCCAAGAGGGTGTTTACAAAAGAGGGAAAGAATTGAGTGCACAGGCCTGCCCTGTAGCTGCACTTCTGTGGCTTTTTATGGTTAGATATGAGGCTTCTTGACCACAACTTAATCACAGCAGCCTACCAAGGTTCCATTCCATTTCAAAATACCTCTTTCCCAACTTCATCTTGGCAGAATCCACCTTAGCCAAGGACTGGCAGGTAATGAAAGAGCAAAATCCCGTCTCCAATTCTATAGCTCAACACTAATTAGAGACACTTGAATCTGGTTTTGGAATGGATGGGCCTTCTGATGACAAGATACAACTCCTAGGGATAAAGTCAACTTTCCCATCCCATTCCCATCCCTTTCAATTAAGCTATGATTTCAGTTAATATATGAGCAAGACCATATTGACTAGTCTCAGCTCCTGACATCTGTACATAGAGCATGTACATATCTGTGACTTTTACTCTATACACATACCATAAGTACAAAACCCTCCTTAGACACCAAAGGACACATTGGTCAATGTCCTTTCCTCACTTGCCATTAAATCAGTACCAGAACGCTCTGGCAGTCTTACACTGGCCTTATCTTGTTCCCAGTCCATATTTTAAAGTTTTCTGCTGTCATCCTTCAAATTCTGGAAAATAAAGAGTTTTTTCCTGCTTAATTTATCACATAGCCAAAGAATTCTTCTTTATATTCCTTATGCCCTCCCCACTTTTGGGGAGCTGTAGTCATATGACCAACTCAATTCGTATGACTGATTATTGATAGCTACCCCTGGAAGCTGCCTGTATCTTAGGAGAGGGTGGATGGGAAATACATATCATTGATGGATGGGAAATACATATAATTGACTATATATCAGCCAATCAAACTCTTAAAAATATTATCTCCCCCCCCCACCTACTCTGAGGATAATATAATTTGTTTACTATTAAGACCCCAGGGTAGGGGCAGTGGGGTGGCGGTGGTCATCCAAGACACTTGGGAGGCATTCAGGGGTGCTGCTCCTCAGATTGCCAGGTGCAAGACCCTGTTTGTTAAGTTGGGCTCTAAGAGGGATCAGTTGGGACTGTTGCTACTGTACCACCCTCCCTGCTGCGTAGTAACCTCCCTGCCTGAGCTCCTTGACTCTGTAGCCGGGTTGGCGGTGGAGTTCCCCAGGTTTATGGCCTTGGGGGATTTCTACCTGCCTTCCTTGGAGGCGGGGTCAGAGGTAGCCTGGGAGTTTACAGCCACCATGACAGCCATGGGACTGTCCCAGGTCATCCAGGGCCCGACGCATAATAATGGTCATTCGCCTGACCTGGTTTTTCTGTTGGAGCAGTGGCAGAATGTTCTGAAATTGGGGGAGGTATTGGTTTCTCACGTCATGGTCAGATCACTTCCTGATGAGCCTCCAGTTCTCTGGCACCACCCCCCTCTGCAGGGAGGTGGGGCCTATCAGATCAGCCCACCCCAGACACTAATAGACCCAACTGGGTTTCAGAGGGAGCTTGGGGTTGTTCTGCTGCACGGCCCAACCAAAGCCTTGGTGGCCACATGGAATGAGCGCGCGGCCATGGCTTTGGATCGGATCGCGCCTGAGCAGCCTCTCCATGCCCATGGCCCCCGTAGCTCTCTGTGGTATACGGAAGAACTGAGGAAGCTTAAGAGGGCTAAGAGATATCTAGAGTGCTGCTGGTGGAAGATGAGGAGCAAAGACGATCAAACACAAGCTAGAGCTGCAATTAGAGCCTTCCTCATGGCGGTAAGGGTGGCGGAAGAGAAATATATTTTTACCCACATTTCATTTTTATCTAAATCTACCCCA